AAAAAAAATCCAGAATTTATTGTAGATCAAAGATAGCAAACACCAATGGTAGTACCGAGTTCAAAATTAACAAGCTGATTGTGATCAATTTCTAAGCGTCAGTATACTATACTTCAAGTCTTTGCATTGTCATTGAATTATAGTAAGATACTTGTGCAGGATCACCCTCATCATCTTATACTGTAAGAATTAATATAAATAGTAAATTAAATACCATTTCAACTACAAACGAAACAATGATACGAAAGAGGAGGGGAGGAGCCACTTACTAAAAAACATGTAATTGGAATCCGAAAATCAAACAAAAACTACATTTTTTATTTTTTATTTTTTTTTTACTATGTGTAGAAGCTATGAGTCTCCAGTACATAAATTTAGTCTAAATTTTATATTAAAAAAAAAAAAAAAAAAAAAAAAATTATCTTAATTAAAAAGTAAAAACCATTAACTAACAAGAATACAGGAAAAAGAATTAATAAAATTCTTTAAATACTTCCTTACAACAGCACACGGGAACTTTTACATTTTGTACACCGGAGGAAACAATTGAATTAATTCACACATACAGATTTTTTTAAAGTGCACGAAGAATAAAAAAATTTAAACTTTTTTTTTTTTCTTTACACAGATTTAAATTTATTTTAAAAAGATACTTTTATTTAAAAAAAAAAAAAAAAAAAAAAAAAAAACTTAGTTAAAGTCATTTATTTAAGAAAAGAGTGATTCTTGCGAATTTTTTCTCAGAAACCAATGGACAAGTTAAAAAGCTAATTTCTTCCGCAAATTGAATCAGAATTAACAAAAAAAAAAAAAAAAAAAAAAACCGCAATGTTATGTAAGCAAATAATACATTCATTCAACATCATTTTTTTATTTAATCAATTTTAATTGGTTTATAACAAGACATCAAGAAGTTTAGGGACAAAGTAGAAGAAAACTTGGGGGGGGGGAAGGGACAACGATTTATTCCCTGATAAGCAACGTGGTGCCATCTGTACAATTCTAAAGAGTATGACAGCGGAATTTTTCGCCTCGCCTACACTAGACAGGATTATTCAATCAAAGACTTCCGTAAAACAAGAAACTCGGTCACATGATCTACTTGAACAGCTTTTTAGTGAAAAAAAAACAAAACAAAAAAAAAAAAAAAAAAAAAACAAAGATCTTAAATACCTAAGTAAACAGATTTATCTTGTTAATTATAAAATTGTTCAATGTTCATTGAATGTTGTTAAGAAAAAAGTCGTTTAAGTTCGTCCCTGTTTTTAAGCAAAATTAACCTTACTCTGCAATCAGTTTCTTACTTCAAGGGACAATTTTTTAAAAAATGATCGATGAACAAACAGTAGCAGCACGTAAGAACTGCAGTTTTGAGCCGATTGATTCTGATTTAAATTAATACAATAATTCAACATTGCAGAATAATGTTTAGGTTTTTAAATTAGGATAAAAAGAAAGTGCATCCTCATGCACCGAAGAGATTTTCGAGAGGAAAGAAAAAAAAAAAATCATACAATGCGACTGCAAACGCATGAAGAGCATTTTAAAAGCCCGACTGTCAGAAAGAATGACAGACTAAAGTAGAGAGGAAAACAAGGTTGCAATGCTAGGGTGTGGCTCATCGCCAATACAAACATACAGAGATCTTTTTAAGTCTGCTTTTTCCTCCTTACGACAAGTTTGTATGACAGCAGAGCAAAGGAAGAGGGGCAGACTACAATTTATTTCATTGATAGATTTTCTCTTACTACTACATGTACGACGACTAGTAGTAATTTATGAATTAAATTATTAATGACGGTTTTTCAACTTTAGAAAAAAAAAAAAAGTAATCGGTCTGTCATTATTAATTTTTGGGAAATTAAATTACGAGGTCTTACAAAATAAATATTGCACCATCACTTTTTTTTTTAGACTTTGTTTTTAGGACGTTGTCACAAAAAAAAAAAAAAAAAAAAAAAACAACAACAACACGTACGTCGACGAATTGTCTGCGTACATAAAAAACAACCCTTTAAATTTTTTCCCCTTCTACTTTTTAAAAATAAATGTTAAATAAATAGTTGAGGTTCAAAAATTATTAATGCTTAATTTTTCTAAATAAAATAAATTTTTAATTAAACATTGTGCGCAAATTCAGAGTAAGTTTTAGTTTCTTAAATTAAAATACACTGTTGCAAAATTTTCATAAAAAAAAAAAAAAAAAAAAAAGTGCAAATTATGCAATTCAGAAATATTCATTCTCCACTTCTAGATTGAAATTTGTCTTTCCGAGAAATTAATACAGAAAACTTAAAACATCTGCTTCATTCCCAAGTCGAAGTGACGAGATTTAAAAAAAAGAGGGGAAAAAATTCCGTAAAGAAAGCACAACTATGTTGTGGGGATGTAGGCTTACGATTTAAGAGAATTTGGACTCAGTCTAAATAAATAAATGTCTAAAATATAACCGAAAATAATATATGATTGGAACCAAGTAATTTCAGAGAGCCATTTTCAACCGTTTATTGAAGATTCCAGCCTTTGTCCGACGGGCAAGAACTTTTGGTTGTTGTTGACGAAATTTGTCTTCTACACTAAGTCAAGAATCGTATTTTTGAATAACAAAAAAATAATTGCAAAGTTTCCAAAGAGTGGACCAATGAGTCTTTTAAACACAAATACTGAATTTTACTTTAAAATCATTTAAGAGCAAAAAAAAAAAAAAAAAAAAAAGTTTTGAAAAAATAAAAAAAAAAATTAGAGACTATATAACAATAAGGTGGTCATGTGATCAACCCTTTTTTTTCTTTTTCTCCCAAGACCGACTCACCCAGATTACCAAAGAACCAGAAAGGTGATTAATTGTATAACCCGTTTTTTTTTTATAACGATTAAAAAAAAGATACGTCCCAGCTAAGAAAAAAAAAAAAAAAAAAATGTACAAATAAAATTTATTAAAGTACTTAATAAACCTAATATTGTTACGTTCAGCGTGATAATCTTGAAATCAAAGCCTCTTTTTTCAGTTTGCACAAACGGGTAAAGTTTCAAAGAAAATTGCCATAAATAAAGTTCAGACGACGACATGAGAGATGGTGAGTGAATATCTTTACGTAATACGGGCCTAACTATTGTTATGGTCAGATTCTTGGAGTTATTAATAGCATTGAAGAATAGAGAAACCAAAAGGTAAATACAAAATGCCAAGGGTGGTATTTTTCAAGGATACTGCTGATGTAAACGATCGTCTCGATTGTTGTTTTCATGAACATACCAGCTGTTTTAACAATAGAAGAAAAAATAATACTTTTACTTTTCCTAAAAGAAAATTACAGAATCGATACAGAAGGAGGAAAAATTAAAGGAGAAAAAAAAAATAGAATTATCAGATTTTCTGATATTTTTACCTCAATATGGGGAAAATATGAGACATTCATTTATTTTATTTTTAACTTAACAGTAAGCAGTTAATTTAAGTCTTAGATTTAAATCAAATTAATTTAAAATCATTTAATTAATATTAATAAACAAGTTAAAAACGTAAATAAAGTGAAATCCAAGACAAACTTTCGAAGTAATATTTTAGTTTTAAAATTATTTTTTATACAATAAAGTTCGATTGCGGAAAAAAATGAAATTAAAAAGATCTTAATCTTTTTTCAAGGAGAAAAAAAAAAAATAGAAATACATAAACTTACATTTTTTTTTTAAAGAATGTTTTTTATTAAGCAGACAATTTATAAATTATTAAAAAATAAGATTATTTTTTTTAATGAAGAAAAAAAAGAGGAAAGGTAGTCCGAAACAAAGTTAGATTCATTAATTTATAAATTAAGGGACCTGTGCTAAAATATTCTTACTAATGAGGAAGAAAGGTGGAGGTGTTTGGTCACGTGACCTTTTCGTAAGCCGTACTGAAAACAAACAAGATGATATCGAAGCATCAGTGAGCAACTTAACCGATTTTTTTTTTTTTTTTTTATTATTCGTCTGTTCTGAGAATTTTTATTTTAAGTTCTGTTACTACTTGTTGTTTAACAATGTGAGAAAAACAAATGACACAAAAAGTAAAATAAAAACAATCGACATTTAATTAATATTTTTTTTAAATATTAAAATTCTAATTTTGAATTTGCCCAAGAGAAAATAGATTCTCGCCTTTATTATTGATTAAAAAAAATAAATAAAAAAAAATCTGTTTTTTTGTTTACTTAAATCAATTAGATCATCTAATTGTTTTTTTTTTTCAATGTAGTAAGATTAAAAAGAATTTTTAAAAATAAATAAATAAAAAGAACTACTTTATAAACCAACTTTAATTCTACAATAATACAAATAAGTTTCACAAGTTTTATGGCCATTTTAAAATATTTAAAAAGAGGTGAATACGAAATATGGGGGTAAAGCACATTGCTAATATTCAAATGTCAATAATTGCTAACAAATAAACGATAAAAAGGACAAGAAGATCACAAAAAAATTAAAAGAAAAAATGAAAAACGAAAGCATATGTATAATATTCAAGGTGGTCAAAAAGTCGATGTCCAATTTCTAATTGGACAAATATCTAAAACTGAACCCTCACTTTGTGACCGACTTATATATTTATGTTTATTGGGTCTTACAGTGAGGAAGAATGAATTTTTAAACTTACGAAGAGTAAATGGTTTGGAGCCGAGATTCAATGACATCCAACTAGTAAATAATAATAATATAAGTATTAAGAGGATAAATGTCTGATTTAATTTATATACCTAAAAACAAACTTAGCAGTCAGTTTCTGACCAATTTAGTTTTTCGCATATCCCAAAATTGGTGCCTGCTTTTGGTTGCCCTTTGAAATATTTAAATGAAAAAAAAAAATAAGTTAAAAAAAAAAATAAGGATCAAGTAAGCCTGTGCAAAACGGAGAACTGGAAGAAATACCAAAGTTTTGACTCGGTACAGGAAGGAAATTTTGGTAACAGAAGCAACCCGAATGTTCGTAAACAAGTCATATCCGAAAATGTTAAACTTACCTCTGCCTTCCTGAGCATTGGTCACAATAGTTCCCTGTCCAGGCTTTGTAACAACGACACGTACCGTTCTCACAATCACCTTGGTAGCAACTTCCCTCGTTGTTATTACCGCATGTTGTCGAACTACTAGATGTGACCATACCAAAAAATAAAAAATTACACAGGAATAGGCACGAGAGATAGTCCAGGGATCGAAATGTTAACCTATACTTGGACTTAGTCTGAACTACAAACATCGCGATCTCCGCCATTTTGGTTATTTTGATGGATCGGGGTGATGTTGCGCATGTCATTCTGGCCTCCTCATTCCAGCAGTTCGTTTATAATGCTCGTTAAACCCAGAATAACAGAATAATAATGGAATGAGTAGATGCAATCTCAGAATCAGTTTATTGGGAAGAATATGAAGTCTGTGATTTGAATAAGACTTCTTTTTTTTTTTCGAAAAATAAAAGCTTGTGCTGTATAATTTAACAGAGCAAACTTAGCTGATGAAAAATGAATTCTAGAGGAGAAATATCATAAGATTTTTCATTTATCTTTACATGTGTGAAAGAAAAAAAAACAACCAACCGTGTGCTGGTGCCGATGTAATAAGACGTTATTTGTTACGCAAACATGTATGTCGGGTAGTAATGAGTAAGTGTTGATAATGATATATAGTGGCTGGCTGCACATTAAAAACAGGATTTATATTCATTCATCGACTCTATTTTTCATGTGCAGCATTGTAATTCTGACAAATGTTTTGATTTTAATAAGAAGAGTAAAGAAAAAGTTTAAGCTCTATAATTACATTCGTAAAAACTACTTCTTGAAGAATGATTTACCGTTTTCTAATTCTAGGAACTTTGTGCATTTTTTTTTTAAGAAAAATAAAAAAATTTAAACCCAATTCTTTTTATATTTATTTATTCATTCATTGAATTTAAATCTATTCAAAGCCAATCTTTAGACATTTTTAAAGGTTTTAAATTGAAGTTTGAAATTCTTCCCTCTCTTTTCGGTCACTCTTTCTCTATTCCCATTCTCACTTTCTCTTTCTTTCTTTTCTCTCTCTCTCTCTCTCTCTCTCTGAAATCAGTTGACTAATGTTACTTTTGATTGCCAAAAAAAAAAAAAAAAACCAATTCAGGTAAAAAAAGTGATTAGTAATTTTACCAATAGAAAGAAACAGAAAACAACACAAGAACATTGTGGAAATTAAAATGCTAAACAAAAAAAAAAGTACTGTTTTTATAACTCTTATTTAAGCAGGTCATCACTAAATAAAAACTGGGAGTGGGGCTAACTAAATCATGTTAAATACGAGAGGACCTAAATCAGATATTAAGTTGTTGGGTGATTCATTTTCTACAGTTTATCAACCCTTTTCAGGTTATTTAAAGCCAGAAAATATTCTTAGATGGTAACAATTTTTTTTGAGATAATAATGGTTGAGTGATACACATCTAATAGCCACATAACAAAACTCATCATCTGAATTCTGATGAATGAATAGAGTGCGCAGCAGAATCAGGCCAGAGATCGGACAAGAACAGTGCGGGTTTGTTAAAGACACCGGAACAAGGAATGCAATATTCATGCTCAGAATGTTATCAGAAAGAGCAATGCAAATGCAGAAGGGTGTGCACCTATGTTTTATAGACTATGCAAAGGTGTTCGACAAAGTACACCACAAAGATTTGTTGGAACTGCATGATATATTTGGGAAAGATATTAGAATAATCAAGAACCTATACTGCAAGCAAATGGCATGCATACGGATAGAAATGTGTTCAGCAGATATACAAAAATAGGAAGGAGTGTAAGGCAAGGATGGGCCTTCTCACCGGACTTATTCATCCTATACAGCGAGGCAATTACTGGAAATCCTGCCAGGATTAATCATTGGCAGCCACAGTCTTATTAATATAAGATACACGGATGACACAGTGCTGATAGCAAACATGGAAAGGAAATTATAAAACCTTCTACAAAAGATAGTGAAGGAGAACGAGAAGAAGGTTGTCAGGTTCTAGCATAGTTCAGGTGTAATTTTCAGTGACCTAAATGTTCATTCATCTTTTTTAATTTCATAAAGCTAGTGAAGTGTCACTCCGCAAAACACACATTCATAATGACATAGATGTTGCCATTTGTATTTAAATCTGGATTGTTACTAAATCAGTCCTGGATTTGAATATTGTGGTTCCCCCAGCCATTTGATTTTCCCCAAAGAGTGTACAGGGATGCTATTCTGCTTGAACATCATACATCCACAAATTTACATAAAGATGATAAGGCAGTTTTCAAATAGTGCACAAGTACTTCACTATATTATTTCATTCTGGTGATTATGATAACAGTAATGATAATATTAGCCATTTCCCTACAATGAAACATTTGGCATTTATTGACCGAGTAGCCATTACTGCTTTCAGTTGAAATTTATAAACTCTTTTTTTTAAAACAATTTTTCAGGAAAGCAGGTTTCTCAAATACAATAGTTGTTATCACTCTTTCTAGTATTGATGGGGTTTTCCTGCGTAACTTTTTATTTCAAATGGTGTAGAATGTTAACATTTTGATTATATTATTATTTTCTCTTCAAGTTATATGTGCTATCCATTTTAGTTGTTGCTGCTGTTGGTAGTCCTCAAGTGATGTGGTTTCAGTTATTTGGTACAGTTCCTTGTTTATGATTCTGTAGCACTAGCCCATAAGGTTCAAAGAAGGATGAGCTTTGCCAAAATCCTCAGGCTTCACTCATTCAAATCCATTTTTAAGTAGCTCATTTAGGTAGTATCAGGGAAAAAATTCTGCTACTGTATATGTAAGAGTATAAAATTGTCTAATGAAGAAGAAAGAAGATACCAGGAAACAAATCTAACAATCCATGACAGTGAATGCTGAAAAATTTCCTTACAGATAAAATGGAAATTTGAAGCAACAAATGGTTTGGTTTATTTTGTTTTACGGCATATCAACTTCAATGAGTCTGTCTATATTTCTGAGATGAGGTATTATGTACATTATTTACATTATTCGGACTATTGTCCTCATCATTTTCGCCATATCTATCACAACGTTTCGGCTGTTGTACGCTCCGGCCTTCTTCAGGTGGTTGGAATGTCGAACCGAACCCTTTATTTCGCACACTGTTCTAGTTCCACGTGCCATGTTTGATGGATGTCAGTTATCAGTTATCTCCTGTTAATTTCCCTCTGAAAGTTCTCCACTGCCTTAACCAGGTATTGAACTCACACTCTTTGGGTCCTGTCACTGGATCTAACCAACGCCTTTATCCACTGTGCCATGTGTCCTGAAGAAGGCCGGAGCGTACAACGACCGAAACGTTGTGATAGATATGGTGAAAATGATGAGGACAATAGTCCGAATAATGTAAATAATGTATAACTTCAATGAGTTATTTAATGCTGACAAGATTTTTAGGATAGATATGAATAAAATATGTATTCTTTGTAAGAAATCAGTTTGTAGATCAGTTTTCATTGATTTATTTTTGTAAAGAGGTTTTTTTGTCAAGAGTCAAATGTATTGCTGGTAATATTTTTTTTCTTTCAAAAATGTATTGCTAGTATTTTTACAATAAAAATCTATTTTTATACTTTCATAATGTTTCGACTCCAGTTTAGGGATTAACTATTTGCCCATAGCTGAGACCCTAACAGGTGCTATCACCCTGGGTCAGGGTGGACCTGGGAACACCAGCAATTAAGAAAGGGCAACAAGAGGTGTGGCTCTATAGAAGAATGCTGATTATACCATAGGTGGAATATGCAAGCAATGAGGAAGTTTTACAAAACATAGGAACCAAAAGTACACTTGCTCTTAGGATCTGAAAGAGGTAACTGAAATTTCTAGGACACATAATGAAAAAAGAAGGCTTAGAGAATTAAATACTCACAGGATATATTGAGGGCAAGAAGGAAACAGTGTTTAAGCTACCTAATGAACTTGTATAAATGGATGGTATAACAAGGACTGGGTGGGATAATAAGGAGTCAAATATTGCTTAGAGGTACAAAGGTTAGGACATTGTGGAGAGCCATGATTGACCATATCCTGAAAGGACACAGCACATAAAAGAAAGAGCCCCAGTAATGTCATGAATAAGTTTTTCTAACCTTTGTTTCATAACATTTTAACTTTAATTACAGAGCCATGAGTATGAAAGACATGCTTAATTCCTTTCTATAAGGCTTAAACTTGAGGTGACTATTATTACTAAAGAAAGGAAGTCTAAGTACCATTGAGAAAAGTTAATCTGAACAATGATCATGAAAATATTTATAGAAAAGGCACAGGAAAACTATATTACAGTAGTGAGAAAGTGACCGAATCTGAGATGTCAGGTCAGGACCAATAACATTGCAGTTTCTTCTTTAGATTTCATCAAGGACCTCTAAATATATTGCAGGAGCATCAGACAATGGACAGAAGCAATAGTCAAAGCATGGACAAATGGTAGATTTATAAGATGTAAAGAGGATTCGGGTGAGTCTAAAAATAAATCTCTCCACAGTTGAATCACAGAAAAATAAATCAATAGATATGTAGTATCTGATTCACTTCAGTTGATACCTAAATAGACTTTGCACTCACTGTCATATTAAACTCTCAGAGATGCCAGGTGCATCAGCAGGTTGACCTGTAAGATGATCTCCTAGCCACCACATACTCCTGGATGTCAGTGGCTATCACTGAAATCAAAATAGGCTGTTGACCTAGTTGCACCTATGATGTACAGACTTGAGACAAATTGGATGACAGCTATATAAACATCCACCCAAGGGGGGACAAGAAGAGAGTTTCTTATATCTGCACAAGAATGTACAATCCTCATTTGGAGAAAACCTCTCTCACACCCACTCACAAATGGTAATTGAAGTTTGGAATTGAATAAACAATAATATTGCATACAAAAGATTTCATCTTATGTTATTATTGGTCAGTGGAGATAATAATATTAGACATACTTTAGTAAATAAAATAACAAGAGATATTTCAGCCAATCAAATCACCTTACAGATATTCTAGCCAATAAAATCACTTTACAGATATTCTAGCTAATAAAATCACCTTACAGATATTCCAGCTCATAAAATCACCTTACAGATATTCTAGTCAATAAAAT